AGTACCGGGAGGAGTTGAAGAAGCCGAGCAGCGGAGGGGTTCGGTGGAAGCCGACATAGAGACGGTGGAAGCCGGGGTCGGAGAGCACGCGGCGCCACTGCCTGCAGACGAGCGAAGCGCGGATGAGGTACGCGGGTTCTTCCGGCGGGAGGCGGAGGAGCACCTCCGTGATGGCGGCGTCGTCGACCAGCTCCGACGGTGGTGTGCGTCGCGACGCCATGCGCGTGGAGCCGTGGAGCCGTGACGAGGGCTTTGGGTGGGGACTGCAATACTGCATACGTACCATACATGCATAGATTTGGGGAACCAAGTCGTGTGAGAAGCGAACTTTTTGTGCAAGTATATTCCCGTCGGTCCTGTTGTGTCGTTTCTCTAGGATGTTCCTATGTAGAATCAGTTTGGCCCAGTCCGGCCCAAAGAGATCTGGGCGTGGGGGCCCACATCGCAGGCCACGCTTTCTATGTTCGTCGCGGCACAAAGAGAGCACGCATGCTGTAACCGTGTAACATCACGGAACTTCTGATGTATTCCGCTTATAAATTATGGTATTATGGTAATGCTATGTGTAGGGCGTCCGTCCGAACACCCCTGGCTAGGCCTGCGGACCAACCCAATAAGCTAGCTCCTCTCACAGTTTCTCCATCTAAAAAAAATTGGATGCATTTCCCTTCCGCACCTATTTTTGCCCGTCACGGTAAATGCCACGGTTTACCTAGGCGGGCATTTTTTTTATTTACCACGGCGGGCAGTTTTGCCCGCCACGGCAAATCGATTTACCGTGGCGGACGTCTTAAGATGTCCGCCACGGAAAATACCCTATTTTCCGCGGCGGACATCTTAAGACGTCCGCCATGGTAAATCGATTTACCGTGGCGGGCATCCTAAAATGTCCGCCACGGTAAATACCCTATTTTTCGCGGCGGACATCTTAAGACGTCCGCCACGGTAAATCGATTTACCGTGGCGGGAATGTCCGCCCACGTAAATCGATTCACTTCAAACACATCACCCACATCCCTCGCACCATCGCCGCCCTCCCCACTCTCTCTCCGCCGCCTCCCGCCGCCACCCCTCTCTCTCTCGCCTCTCCGCCTCCCCCACTCTCCTCCTCTGCCTCCATGCAGCCTCTCCCTCCTGCAGGCAGCGGCCTCCTCAAGGGCGCGGCGAGGCCTCCAGACGGCGGATCGAGGGGCCTTGGGGGCGACGGCGGCGACGGCCACGCCTCCTCCTCCCCATGGATCCTCCATGAACGCATTTACGGCGCTGGGCTAGGGTTTCAAATCCAGTGAGTTCATCTCCTCTTCCTCTCCATCTCCCTCTTCCTCTCTCCATCTCCCTCACTCCTCCTCTTCCTCTCTCCAGATCCGGCGACGACGACCTCTTTCTCCTCCACGGATCCGCGGCGGTGACCTCCTCCCCCACGGATCTGGCGGCTGCACCCTCCTCCTCCGTGGATCTGGCGGTGGAGCGACCGGATCCGGCGGTGGATCTCCACCACGTCCACGACGCCAGGATCCACCACGGCCACGACGCTAGGACCTCCACCACGGCGGGCGAGGACGCATCGGCGCGGCGGCCTCCCTCCACCACGGCGCGGCGGGATCCGCGAGGAGGCACGGGGATCCACGAGGAGGCATCGGCCTAGTCCCCTGCGAGCGACTGGCGAGGTGGTGGCGGCCCTGCAGTGGCGTCGGCGTGTCCAGCCGGCTTCTCTAGAGACGCTGGGGCCCGGCCGGCTACTCCTCTTCTCCCTCCCCAAGCGGCACGGATCTGCGGCCGTGGGAAGCCCGGATCCGTCGCCGGTGGGCTCGCCAGTGGGCTCGAGAACGGGCTCGCCGGCGGGCTCCTGGTTTTTTTTGTTTTTTTTAAATGATTAACCGCAGCGGGCATCCTAACATGCCCGCCGTGGTAAAAGTATATTTACCGCGGCGGGCAAGGCCGCCCGCCGTGGTTAAGCCACGATTTACCGTGGCCTCTAGGCCGCGGCGGACGGCTTTGCCCGCCGCGGAAAACAGAAAACGCCCGCCTCCAGTAAAGTTTGTGTAGTAGTGTCCTACTCGAATCGTTCTTATCCATTCGTTCTGAGCCGGTCGTAGATTACTTCAATGCGGAACTATGGGGCAAAGTTTGTGACGGCCGTGCCGGCGAGCTTTGCGCATGCTACCAGCCCTCGATGTGCTTTGTCGAGATCCACGCATGCGCCACCGAAAGGTGGCGAGCCTCCACGAAGGATGCTCCAACAATCAAAGCGAGGGAGGAGCTTCGTGACGCCACCTTGCCAGTGAAGTTGCCCGTGCCGCTATCGCAGCAATGAGCTCCATGCACCACCGCCGACCTCCGCACCAGCATCAAGCTCCGCAACAACGAGTATCCACCCGCCCAAGCAGCAAGGTGACATTACATCGCAATCACATGTTGCAAGTGTATGTTCCAAGTGTATCAACTGTTTTAGACGAATATTGTGTTGTTTATCTGGATGTTGTAAAAATACATCTAGATGTTGCATATGCTGCAATACGTATATAAAAATATTTCATCTGTTTTAGACATATGTTGCAAGTGTTTTATCTGGATGTTGCATATGTTTCACACATATGTTGCAAGTGTATGTTTCAGCTGTTTCATACGTATGTTGGATAAGTGTTTCATGTTGCAAGTGTTTCATGTTTCAGAGATATGGTAGGAAAGTCGAGCGACAGACGAAACGGAGTAGGCTCGGGCGGTCCCACGTGCGTGCAGGTGGCGTGGGCGGGGCGAGTCGTCCGGGCGGCAGGGTGGACACCGCATGCGCACGGGAACTGGGGCGTGCGAATCTGAGCAAGCAGGGCACGTGACACACAGATGGCGCGGGCGTCCGGACACGAGCGTCGGTTGGGACGTCCGGACGCTAGCTCTACCGTTCTGCTTATTTCTCACTGTTGGCCAAATCTAAAGGAACCGCGAACACACTGCTATGATTTCACAAGTGTGGACCCTTCAAACTATGTATCGTGTAACTTATCTGGATCGTTTAAGTTTTGTTGCTTATCTATAACATGGTTTTAAGCTCTTTATGGTTGTTATGTTTTTTTTTTTCAGCTTGGGCTACAGGCAGACTGCCGTCACCTGTGTTGAGGAGGAACTGATGAGTGATATTCTCCGAGAGACTAAGACATCATTCAAGGATTTATTCTGGCAAAAGGAATGAGCAAATTAATCCTTCGTTGCGCAGTTATGATCTTTCCAGCACTCTGTTTTGTATTCAGCAATTGTCAAGTACGTTACAGTTTGGTTGCGAAAATGAAAATGTATGTTTCAGCTTACTGTTTGGGTTCATGCGTTAGTTTTCATCAGTCCATGCAGGATGCGGCGACTGGAACTGGACGTGAATATACACAGTTTCTCTTTACAATGAATCATAGCGATTCAGTTTGTACGAGGCATCATGCACTGCTGTCTCACTTCTTGATGGCTAATTTGGTTTAATCTATATTTCAGCAAAGTTCAGTTGTAGTTGACACAGCTACTTAATTGGACCTATAATCTTTGGTTCTCAAAAAGGAATAGTCTATGTACTTCGGCACATGAGTTTTTAACAGACCGTTGGATCCGAAGAACACTGGATCTTTAAAAAAAAAAAACAGGAATATTGGACTTTTACGGTTCAGTTTCAGGACACAACTACACAGTTAGTAATATCTATGGTAAAAAAAACGACAGGAGTATTGCAGAAGTCTGCTGCTGCACCTTCTGGGAGGTGCATTAATATCGAAACACACAAGGGGTGCGTTCGGCTGGCTGGCTGGGCTGGGGCCGGCTGGCCGGCGCACTCACATAAACACTGTTTATATTCAGGCAGAACAGTATTTTTCTCTCACAACAATCAGTTGGAATAGTATTTTGACTTATTTTTCAGTCCTGCCGAACAGGCCCAAGGAAAACATCAACGACGATATATAGTTATGTGTGTTAGCTACACATTTCTATGAAGAACAAATAACCAGACTTTGGGAAGAATAACAAAGCATGGGAGGACGGACGAACAGAGGAATCCATTTTGGTTTGGATTTTGGTCTTCTGGAGAAGTTGGTATCTCCTCCACCTCATTCTGGAATGTAATGTAAGTCTCAATGGGCCGTGCACACACTGAACTCATTGTGGGCCTGCACATTCAACTTCCTGGGCCGTTGCATTCCATACCTCGAAAAAAAAGGACTAGGTGGAGGTTGCATCAAGTTTTTGGAGTGACTACACATCATTCGGTTGATTTTTTTTTGAATCGATCAATCAGATTTTCGTCCAATCATTATATGACACGTAGCTTATTGAAACCAGCTCAGAATCCGACGGATAAACCAAAAAGAAATCACCCAGATTTTACAGAGACATTAAACAATAAAAAGTGATTGAAAATTCCAACAACCAACAACCAGATCTTATCCAATGGGGGACCTCCTGCTGACGTGCATTCCAGTTTTTATTCAGCTTGCCTAACTCCAGTTTTGCATTTAGAAATCAACTAGATATTTAACTTGGTACATACATTGCGTTAGACACTTTCTGACACACAGCCACCTCTAAGTAATGCTGTACAAATGACCCAAAATGCATAAAGTATCATTCTTACCTTCAAATAGAAGAAAACTACAACGTTTGTTTAATCATAATATTGTGGTTATTATGCTCAAATAAGTCATCATTTGCAATCGGAGAAGATAGTACCATGCTTCACATTAAAAGGTTAGTAACTTTAGAGTGCGTTCAAAGCAACAACTGAATAGCTGCCTTGCTCCAATAAATATGCAGTCATAACTGAAATATTCACTGCGTCGAACTAAAAGGCTATGTCTTTCAAACATATAAAGATTGCCTCCTGGTGGATTAGAATATCATGTTTTTAAATAAAGGAATAGCTAGCTATAGTTCTCATCCATGCTAGAATCTTGATACAGGTAAATAGTATAGCTTATGTGATACTAAGCTGAAAAACGACAAGACAAAACTAATCATCATTGCATTACTTACTCAGCAATGGTATGCCCAATTGTCACGGAGCTCTTGTTGAAGGGAGACCAGCATGTATAGCCTGCGACTCCTGCATCATCTCCCACCCATCTAGTGTCTGGTCCAGCATCTGAGAAGATAACTACCCTTTGTTGTAGCTGATGTATAAGTGAAAACCAGGCATCAAACATATAATCCATCTTCTTGGCATCGCCCTTTGCACCATCTAGCCAAACTTCCTCTACATCTCCATACCTATTTGAAAGCAGAGTCATTAGATTATCCTAAATACAGAAAATATATAACTGAGTGTGCACTATGATGAGTCATGAGTATAAAGTATATGAATGCATGCTGCCCAAATACTAATCTGCAATGTACTATTTTTTTCAATATTTCTAAGAATGCAAAGTAATGCATATGCAGTAAACCGCAAATCAAGAATGATTAGCCACAACAAAAGCCAAACTTTTTTCTTAGCATCCGGCACCACAGTTAATCACTGATGGCTTCCAAATCGAAGATGTCATCTAGGAAGTAGACCAGTCAGCTGTTACTGCAAATTTCTGCAACTGAACAAGTAGAAGGCCGACTTTTTTAGTTTCCAGTTACACAACCACATCAAGATCAACCTTCACATCATCTGCATCGCAAAATTCAGAACTTCGCCTGCAAAAGCTTCAATGACAATCATAAAAGCAACCATCAGCAAACCTGGTCAGCAGTTTCATCATCTGTCCCATGTAATGCTCGTTGTACGCGATGGTGTCCCCGTACACCGGCTCGTGGCGTTCCCACGGCGAGAGGTACAGCCCCATCCCGATCCCCTCCGCGCGCGCGGCTGCGGCGAGCTCGGCGACGACGTCCCCAGCCCCGCACCGCCACGGCGACGCGGCCACCGAATAGTCGGTCAGTGCCGACGGCCAGAGGCAGAAACCGTCGTGGTGCTTGGCCGTGAGCACGACGCGGCCGAACCCGCCCTGAGCCGCGACGCGCGCCCACTGGCCCGCGTCGAGTGCCGAGGGGGCGAACACGGAGGGGTCGGCGCGGCCGGTGTCCCACTCGGAGTCCGTGAAGGTGTTGGGCCCGAAGTGGAGGAAGAGAGCCATCTCGGAGAGCTGCCACCGGAGCTGCGCGTAGGACGGGACGGGCAGGACCGGGAGAGGCGGCGGCGTCGCGGTCGAGGAGGCGGTGGCGCCATGGGCGCAGAGGAGTAGGTGCGCGAGCAGCAGAGGAAAAAGTGCTGCCATTTTCGTTGGAGTCAACTGCTTTTTCTGTCACTGAACTGGAAAAGAAGAACGGCAAGACAAACAAGGGGAAAGGGCCAAAGGGGAATGGTGAATAGGCTATGGGTTTTCTTTCATTTTTGAAGTGCTCAAAAGTTGAGATATGGGGGGACAAAAGTTGAGATATGCAAGCTTCCCGCGCGAAGAATGTGCGGCTGCGCGGCCCTCGTCGCCGGCGGCCGGCTGCCACCGCCCGCCCTCCCCCGCCGAGGGAGCTCCGTCCGGGCAGAGGTCTCGCCAGGTGGCGAGTCCCAGCAGAAGAAGGTCGCCGTCGCGGGCGCCGGCTGGGCCGGCCTTGCCGCCGCGCATCACCTCGTCAAGCAGGTTGGCCTCCCGTGAATTGTAGCTCGTGCGTTCGTGTACTTGTAAGCGTGGCGACTATGTGCAAATTTATGAATTACAATTTGTTGTGATGATCAGGGATAGGATACGATGTCACGCTTCCAAGGTTTTTATTTTTGGAAATTAAAATTTATCGAGGACACAGATAAAGAGGATAAACAGGATATATCGGAAATATCAGATCAAATTCAAAAAAAAAATTTGAATTTAAGTAAATTTAAATAAATTTAAACAAAATTTATACGAAAAAATAGATATTTTCTTATCGGCACCTATGGATAAAAATGATATATCAGAAATATCACGAGATTTCGGCCGATAAAAGAAACCATGCACGCTTCTCGCCGCGGAGAGCGGCCCAACCGAGGAGGTTGGCCTCAGAGGTATGCATGTCAACCTTCAGTATACGATATCCGTTTATATGTTTCGATTCGGTGCCAGTTTTGTTCCAGTAATTCGCTCATCGTGGCGCTGCACATAGGATTCTGGCATCCGTACCGCAACATCTTCGCTTTAGTCGATGAGCTGGGGATCTCGCCTTTCACGGGCTGGAATAAAGCAGCCTACTATTCTGCCGAGGGCGTTGCTGTAATTTCTCTGCTTTATTTTTGTGCGCTCACATGCTTTGTGCATTGCTGCAATGGATTATCTAATGAATAGATTTTTTCTATATTTTTTTTCGATTTCTTTTTCGGTGGATTATTACTTAAAATGGGTTTATCTAGAAATTCCTTAGTCTGTAGCAAGTGTCACATTGTTTTGCATGGGGCTATTGTGTCTCGATTTAAAACATCTTCTATATGCTAACTCCCCTCCCTCCTGAATCCTGATTAAACTTAAATTGTTATGATCACCTTGCAGGTTGAATTTCCCATATTTCATAACCAGCCCCGATTACCAGCTCCCTTTGGAGTCTTTGCATATCCAGAAGTAAGTTGTCCTTAGATCTTATATTGGTTATCAGTTTATCCGATTCTAAATTAGTAATAATAGCCTGAATCATCTTTGCAGTTCCCTAATCTCCCTTTGATTGATAGGCTGACATCAATTCCTGTCATGACTGCAGGTACAGTACCGGAGTTCAACTGTTAATCTTTTGTTAAAAATCAGCTGACTTATGTGTTGCTTTGCTCCAGTCATTGACTTCGACAACACTGACACTGCTTGGAGGAAATATGATGCAAGTAAGGACTAAGGAAGTTTCATTGTCTATCCAGTTAGTTCAGACTAGAATCAACAACAATTGTGGAGACTGAATTTGTATGTTCTGGCCACCTTTATCAATTTGAAAACATACAACATTTTCAGCCAGGATGTACTTACTCTTGTAACTTATTTTCCCAGTATAATGCTAGCCATTTGGTACTTGTAAATGATGATGATATTGTCTCTGAAGCTTCATCACATCTTATCAAATGCATACAAGATTTTGAGGGTGCTACTGTGATAAGATATTCAATCAGAAGATCTCCTAATTCTGTAATCAACTTTCTTCCAGGTGAATACTTAAAGGACGACAATTCTTGATAGTTTCCTGTCTATAGTAATAACCAAGTTATTGTTAACCATTATGGATGATTGATAATGCTATACTCTAACATTTCAGTGCATATTGTCCTATTGAAAGGTAGTTGTAAATTAATGCTGTGAATCTGTGATAAGGATCAAGAATCATAACAAAAAAATTATACTTTTGTAGCATATGTACATATCAGTACTAGTTTAGAAATATGTTGTTTTAGAGGAATATTTAATTTGATACATGAGGAAATGCATTGCAGGCTCCTACAAGTACACACTGAGAGGATCAACTTCCTTTCCAAATTTGTTTATTGCTGGTGATTGGATTGTCAACCGACATGGGTCCTTTTCTAAAGTGAGACATAACATTTCAAAAAACGATTCAGAGTGATGATAAAAAGTTGTATTTATGGGTTCATATTTTCCTATGCTAGGAAAAAGCATATGTGACTGGACTTGAAGCTGCTAATAGGGTGGTAGACTATTTTGACACCGGGGACTTTGCCAAAATAATTGCAGTTGAAGGAGATGAGCCCCATATAGAGACATTGCGTAGTCTCAACAGAAGACTCAATGAACTGAAGTCACAAATTCCATTCTCAGAATTCTTTCTCCAATAATTTGGTTGGGTCAATAATTTTGCTGGGATTTTCCTAAGTCTGTTGACCAATGCCCATTGTTGTAGGGCCCATATGTAAAAAGGTCAGCCAGTTCTCATTTTATTTGCTTTAAATATTTAAAACAAAATACTCTCTTCAATCAAAATGTATGTCATTTAGCCTTTTCAACTTTCCTCTAAATCTAAGTCACCCTAGAACTTCTATGCATCTTTTACCCTTTTCCTCCCTCTTTGCCCCTGAAATAAATGAGTCATCTTTTACAATGCACTATAAATGAAGGGCTCTGCGGTCATTTAATTTACTTTCTTAATCCTTGTGCACAAGTCTAAAACGATCTACATTTGGAATTTGAGGGAGTATTTCTTCTGCTGTGTGCATTGGCCAGCCAGTGGCCAACCTTTGGCCTGAGATCATGTGTTCCGGGTTACTTTTGTGAAAGAGTGAATGAATAGTCTAAAAAAGGCTATATAATATTCTACTAAAAAAGAAGAAAATGTGGGTTGAGGGCACCAATAACTTTTTATACGCAGCAGCAAAGGTTAGTTTGCAATTTACATGGGAAAAAGGATACACTATCTCCCCAGCGGTTAGTTATATGGATTCAATGGAAATAGGGATGGTTATGTAAACTTTTTTTTGAACGTAACATGGATATGTAATACCGGTGTTAGCTACTTCTCCGATGGCTTTCAATTGCTTCAGGTGAACAATACCTAACAGAAATTATGTCGTCATATTGCTGTATTTGTTATTATCTGCTGACCCTGCAATAACATTTCTGAGCTCACATGCTGCACCCATTATGGTTTATCATGAACTTTGTAATTTTGTTCAAGCATGTGTTTTCCTTTTCTGATCCTAATTTTGAACATACTTATTTTAAATAAAGCTTCACAAAATGTACCATTAGTGAAATTCACTTGCAGCAGGATTAGTGCCAGTTTTCTGGTAGGCTATATGTCTTCTGCATATGTATGATTCCATGAAGTCTGAGCATTATTTTTGAAGTAAACTGAACATTTTCTCTTGTTGCATGTTCGGTTAATAATAGCTGTACATACTTGTCTCGGACCATAGCTGCAGAAGCAACTTGTTCTAAGTTAAACTTGCATTGTTGCTTGTACTTGCCATATTTGCTGAAACATATATATACAACCTCTTCCATCATGAGAACAGAGCTTTCTCAGGTATAACTTCCCTTCCTCATCATTTCTACAAACTCTTCATAGTCGATTCTCCCATCCTGTGAATTCAGAGGGGGGCGATTGTTAAATCTATGCAAATGGATTGGTTAGCAGCAAGAATGTGCTCACCTTATCTTTGTCAACTTCATCCAGTACTTCTTTAATGCTTGCTTCATCACTAATTCCATACTCCGCCATGGCTTGTTCCAGTTCATCTCTTGTTATGTACCTGTGGTTGTTATGTATGTTATCTCGGTTTAATAATATTAAACTTTTTTATTTTTTCGTAATTGAGTGTAACCAAGCATTGTTAGTTTGTTATATTATGAACAATTTGAGCAGCGTGTAATTTTATTTTACAAGTTCTAGCATGGTTCAACTGTATAGATTTTTTTTTTAGAATATATAGGTCTTTGTTTTGGTGATGCATGGAGAGTATATTGCTTTCTTGGTTAGGCAGAGTTAATTTTACCCGCTATCATCTTTGTCAAAGTGTTGAAATGCACGGATCAAATCCTCCTCCTTTTCCAGTTTATGTTTATTCATCATGGCAGTAAGGAACTCCGCGTAATCAATGCTGCCACTCTTGTCCACGTCAACCTGCATCGAAGCATGATTAATGAAGTATTTCATACACTGAACTTAGTGAAAGTGAAATGGAACAAGTAATCTTACTGCTTCCATAAGCTTCTGAACCTCTGCTTCGCTAATCTTTGACCCTAGTTTTGTCAGTCCTGCCTTCAGTTCTTGGACTGTGATCGTGCCACTCTTGTCTGTATCCATGTTGTTGAACATCTGCTTCAGTCCCTTGATCTCGTCTTCTGTTAGGTTCTCTGCGATTACCTTACAATGACAGGAGACAGTTTGTCAACTTAAACTGACATAGACGAAGTAGCAGTTATTCTTGTTAAGTAGGTTCACCTTGAGTGCAAGTTGCTTTAGCTTGTTCATTGCCTTGGATTGCTTCTGTTCTTGACAGGACTGTGCTGTCGATAGGTCTGTCAGGTGCACCAGAGCCATGGATGTTCTGCACATGGAGTCATCCATTTATTTGGGATGAAGTGCAAAACGTGGAAATGCAGATGAAATTTACATTCATAACTCAATTGTTGTATGAAAAGGCAGTTGAGAGTGCTACCTAGGGCCTGTACCGCAGTAATGCGCCTCTGAGGATCCCTGTTCAACATTCTTCTAATGAGATCCTTTGCACTTTCAGATATGGAGGGCCACGGGGAGGAGACTAAATCAAGTTCGCCGACCAATAATATTGCATCAAGTATGCCTTTCTCCGTTTCTGCCCAGATACGCAAATTCTGTCATCAGCCAATTATACTGGAGGAAATGTAGTCTGTCAGGATGAAGATGATTGGGTCTTTACCTGCCCAGAAAGGGGCTGACCCGCATAGTAGAATGTATAGGATCACGCCAGCACTCCAGACATCAATTTCTTTGCCGTAATTCTGGTGCAATACCTCTGGCGCCACATAGTACGCACTTCCCACGATTTCCTTGTAAACTTTACCTGCATTCGTTGGGGAAAATTGTCTAGCTAGTATTACCATTTTCCATGGAACAGTTGCATTTTACTTGAATGAATATAATGATGAGCAAAGGCCTATGGCGTATGAATACTATTCCCTGATCTCTTGCAACATAGTCGTAGTAGTATTTACTTGACTTTCAGCTAGCTGCAACTTTTTTTTAAAAAGGTTCAGCTGCAAGTTTTGAGCCCAGCAGCTTACTAAAGCCTTTGTTTTGTACCATGCGGCCGGTGGATATCATATCAATATCATGGAGAGAAAATCATCGTGCCTTGTCCACGCACGCGTCACCATTCACCAAGCTAACCTTCTTCGGTGAAGACGGAGAGGCCGAAGTCGATGGCCTTGAGCGGCGCATCGTCGGCGGGGCTGGCGAGGAGGAAGTTCTCGGGCTTGAGGTCCCGGTGCATGACCCCCATGAAGTGGCAGACGTGCACGACGGTGAGGATGTCGCGGCACACGGCGGCGGCCTGGCGCTCGGAGTAGCTCCCCTTGGCCGTGATGCGGTCGAAGAGCTCCCCGCCGGAGCAGAACTCCATGACGACGTGCACGTCGTCGGCGTCCTCGAACGCGCTCTTGAACTCCGCCACGTTGGGCTGGCCGCTGAGGTGCTGCAGGATGGTGATCTCCCGGCGCATGTCGTCGATGTCGGCGCGGCGCACCAGCTTGCGCTTGGACACGGACTTGCACGCGTACTTCCTCCCCGTCGCGCGCTCCGTGCACAGGTACGTGGTCCCGAACTGCCCGCTCCCGAGCTTCCGCTCCAGGTGGAACAGCGTGCGCACGTCCGCCATGCGCCGCTGCAGGATCGGGCCGATCTGGCCGGTGGGCGCCCGCCGGCCGCCCATCGACCCCGTGCTCGACGACGGAAGGCCGGAAGCCGCGGCGGCGGCGGCCGGCGCGAGCCCGAGCCGAGGACAGCGGCACCTCCCGCGCCTTGTGATCGTGGGGCGGCTGGTACGTCGGCATCGACGTCCGCGGCGGCGGGTCCGTGGTGATTGGTTTCTCCTGCTCGTACGTCTTGGTCAAGCAGTTGCCCATTGCCTCGCTGCTTCTTTCCTTCTCTGTGTTTCTTGTGGATGCCGCCGTCGAGATGGTGGTAGCTCGACGACGACCGAGAGACAGTTTGAGGGGGAGTTTCCTAGTAGTGCTCCTTTTGCGAGCAAAGGATGGAGGACGAGGATATGAAGCCTGCCTGCACTGCAAAGCTTGACGTGATGCTGTTTGCTTTTGGTCCAGCGCTTGAGCTTTATGCCTTGTTTGGCTGCCACGAGATGGAATAGAAGATTCAATGAACGCCTGAGAATCACGCTATCTTATAAGCTGACAGCGCGGCTCAGGTGATTTTTATTCGGTGCCGATGATGGAGAAACAGCTGGTGTGCACAGCCAGGTCCTTCCCCCGCCGTGTTTTTTTCTTTTTTGGTAAATAACCCAACGATTCAAAATTCTTTTTTTTATCGGTACAATTTGACATACACAACCTATGCACCACACACACGCGTGCGCACCTGTACACATGCAAAGAAGAGATTAGGAGGCACGTCGCCTCCCGTGCGTGAGAAACGTACAGTACCATCGAACGCGCACGCGTGCGTATACCCTAAAATTTCTAAAAAAAAAATCCAAAAAAAAAGTGCAATCAGCAGGGTTTGTGCCTGGTGGCTAGCATCCCACTGCCCTACACCACCATTCGCAACGAGTTCAGAGTTCTGACTTGCCTTAGCGTGAGCGTGGCCTTGAAAAGGAAGGGACAAGGGAGTAAAAGGGAAACTGGGCTTCCAAGTTTAATCTGGGCTTGTAGTACCTCGTTGCACACCGGGGCTAACGATTCGGCGCAGGACCTCATGTCTCAGCCTAGGCCGTGAGCCCAATGCATGCTTAGGCCCGGTTGATACGCCCCCACGCTCTGGCTTCTTTTTTTTCTTTTCTCACTACGTTCGTGCCCGTGCGTTGCTACGGGACAACTAAACTTTTGTATAAAAACACACGAATCGCACGATAAGATAACAATACTATAAAATTAAATACTGACGTTAAAGTGACATTTAATCCAAAAAGCAAAGTTTGTGAAATTAACACAGTCACGAAGAGCGCGGCGTTGCAGGCTCACCAACTATAGACCTTTCTCTGCATTGAAACGGGAGCTTCTGTGGGCCTTTGAGAGTCCTTTGTGCGTACAGAATATATCCCTGTCTTCATGTTGGCCCTTCTCTCCCTCACCTAAATCCTCTATCGTTTATAAAATAAAATAATAAATCATCTATCGATTTAAT